AATCCCTTCATCCCCCAGCCTATACTGATGCCGGGGGTTGCCCTGACCCACGTGCAGGGCCTTGCACTTGGCCTTGTTGAACCTTATGAGGTTCACACGGGCCCACTTCTTGAGCTTGTCCAGGTCCCTCTGGATGGCATCCCATCCCTCAGGCGTGTCAACCGCACCACTCAGCTTGGTGTCATCTGCAAACTTGCTGGGGGTGCACTTGATCCCACCGTCTATGTAATTGATGAAGATACTAAACAGTACTGGTCCCAATACGGACCCCTGCAGGACAGCACTTGTCACCGATCTCCATCTGGACATTGAGCCATTAACCTACTATCCTCTAGATGTGACCATCCAACCAATTCCTCACCCACCGGACAGTCCACCCATCAAATCCATCTCTCTCCAGTTTAGAGAGAAGGATGTTGTGGGGGACTGTGTCAAAGGCCTTACAGAGGTCCAGATAGGCAACATCTGTAGCTCTTCCCATGTCCATTGATGTAGTCACTCCATAGAAAGCCACCAGGTTGGTCAGGCAGGACTTGTCCCTTGAGAAGCCATGCTGACTGTCTCGAATCACCTCCCTGTCCTCCATGTGCCTTAGCATAACTCCCAGGAAGATCTGTTCCATGATCCTCCCAGGGACAGAGGTGAGACTGGCTGGCCTGTAGTTCCTTGGGTCTTCCTTTTTTCCCTTTTTAAAAATGGGGTTATGCTTCCCATTTTCCAGTCAGTGGGAACTTCACTGGACTGCACGACTTTTCAAATGTCATGGAAAGTGGCTTAGCAACTTCATCTGCCAGTTCCCTCAGTACCCACGGATCTCATCAGGTCCCACAGACTTGTGCATCTTTTTAGCTATTTCAGTCTTGGTAACAGAAAGTTTGTTAGGACACAGATCCAAGCACTTACTACTACAAGGGAGTGAAAGGGAAATGTGTGAAAGAAGCATGAATTAGCAAGAGCTACCTGAAAAAAGCAAGTTCACTGTTAGTAGGCTGAAATTCACTAAACAGGGGTTGTACTTGTCTGTGGAAATGTACACAGGGCTTACAGAATAGGAAAGGATTAAAACACTGCTGTGCTAGTAGATGAAAATTATGAAGGAATGAAGGAAATGGAGGAGAACAGAATGATCACAACAGGAATAAAAGTCTGTATTCACAGATAACTTACCATGGAATTTGTATAAACCTCCCAGATGATCTAATAAAGTTTCTAGTGATTTGGACACTGGAAGCAATTCCAGAAATCTGTGGATTACAATGTCAAACACTGGCAGAAAGCGCAGGCATACATTTCCAAAATAAATTGGCAGGTACTGGGGCTGGATCTGAACTGGGGGATTGACTTGCTCTGCCAAGCCTTCAAAATACAGCTTTTCAGGATATTTCTGGAGCGAAAGAAATCCAACAAAATCAAAACTCTTTCCTTAAAAGCAGTGCATTAAACATTCAGCATCTATATTGCTTTAAAAAGTCACTTCATAACTCTCATTATTCACATATGAATGCAGTGAGATGATTTCACTGTAAAGCTTACTGAAGAAAATTCAACTCTAAGTGAAATTATTTAGTTATTAGACTAGTAGATAACAACTTATTCAGAAAACAAAACAAAACAAAGTTTCACCACCACTCAAAGTGGTCATAAGAGAACATTAAGCATCCCAAGGGAAAGCTGAAAGCAGTCAGCGCTTATGTGTCCCTTGTCAAGTATTTTCAGAGAAAACCTAGGGGAAATCAGCACTACTGAAAGTTTCTGCATCACATACTAAATCAGAACACTAGAAATAATATGCATGTAGTAACTCCCTAGGAAAGAACTGGAGTGTACTCAAATACCAGATGAGTACTGCTGAAGGCTGAGCTTATAGAGGCTTATAGTGTGACTGAAATTTCTATATGCCAGATTGGGCCTAATAACTGTGCAGCAACTGTCAAAGCACTTCCCAGGCTAATATAATTTGCTTCCCTGTTACCTGTACAATTTTAGGCACTGTTAAGACACTGTACAGCTAAAGCAGAGGGCTAATACACACCACATAGCTTCTGGATCAGAACTAGATTTTATGTGTGTAGCTACATGAGAGGTTGCTTGTATCTATTTCATCTCAGTGTTGATTTATCTTTTGACAGAACACTCCATTGGTACATTCTTTTCTAGCCAGCAGAAGCCACTATGTTTACAGCAACATTAAAATCTCAGCCATTCCCTTCCCTAACATATCAGGATATCATGTTCTTGCCACACAGGAGATGGAAGAAGCTTTAATAATTAGGAGAAAATGTAGGTTTAACTATTGTTATAGTCATAAAACACCAGAAGGAAATACCTTCTCCCTGATGCACAAAAACCCTGTCATAAACAAATTTCACTAAAATCAAGATTTTAAATTGATTGGATTTAGATGAGCAAGAATGAATTTCCAACCAAGTCTTCAGCTGCTTCTACCTTTTAATATCATTGCATTATAATTTTAATGTTATTACATAAACATAGTGATTTTTTTTTTTTTTTATACTAGCCCAAATAAATTATGACTTACTAAGTAATTCCAAAAATTGACAGAGCTGTCTTGTCGTTTACAAGACAAAAGACTCTCTGGCTGATCTCAATTCCACAGAAATATTACAGTAAAATAATTTTATACCTTGTGATAACTCATATGCTTAGTATGCCAGTCATTCTGCAGCCAGTGCTCTGGAGAATTCTCCTTCACAAAATCACTCACTCTGTTTCTGAAATCGTTAGGCTTCAGTAAGAGTAACTGAATTATGAAGTAACAGACTTGAGCTTCATTTCCTTCATGACTACGCATAGCCTTAAACAAAATGGATCAGAAAATATGGAATTACAGTTGATGTTGCTGTCTGCTTTATAATCCCTAAACATTGGCTAGCAAATTTGGCTGCACATTAGGTACATCTGCACACAAATTCACACTGAACATATGGTCTTTCAACTCTATTTTTCCAGTGAAGTCACAGAACAGAGGCAGGTTCAATCACCTCCTGTGAAAAGTACCCATCACATTTTTTATTCCACAGGCAGAAAGTCTTACAACCTACCCAGTGATAGCAATTCTCTAAGAATTCCAGCTCTGTTTTAGCTGTCATTTCTCTTACTGAAAATAATCAATTAATAATAATGAAATTAAGATTGCTTCAAAATTCTGGCCAGTCTGACATGTTTGGATTTCAGTTTGAAAACCAAACTAAAATTCAAACAACCAGCTTTACATTAAGATGAGATTTTAAATTATAAGTAAAGGGTAATTATTGAAGGAGAATTTAATTCCCTCTGGGTGAGTTCTGCTTTATTTTGTAGGATAATCTGGAAAGACAGAGAATGCCATTTTTCTCCTGTTTTTCTGATGAAACAGGCTGAATTCTAAGCAAAGAAAGCATACTTTAATGGGTACAAGATTTTCCATTTGCTTCTGAATCATGGCATGCCACACCCCTTCTACCTTTTCAGGCTGCAGAAGTAATTGCATAGCTCTGAGGTCAGAGACCCAAAGCACTAATAACAACATTTAATAATACCAGTTCAATGGCTGCCATTAAATAACCAAGAGAAGCTTTCCCTGAAGATTCAGAGAACTGTAAGACTTTGAGTTTTATGTTGCTTACAGAAGTAATCTATTATATTACTTGATTATTGGGTTAGCAAATAGTCACTATTTAAAACCAATGCATTTTTAAAAAGATTGCTCCTAGAAAAGTGACTCAGAAAGCAGAGTCTGCGTGAAAAACTGGCATCTTATCTTCTAAGGCAATACTTACCAAACACAGTATCAACCTGTCCAGTGTTACAATGTTGTACTTCCACACCATGTCATTGAGAATCTCAATACATTTATTGAGCTGCTGGCCTCCTGCAGAGGTAGAGAATTCATACACCAAGAAATCTGCAAAAGTCCTGACATGTGCCACCAGAGCTCTGGCCCCAATTCTTTCTAACACTCTAGCAGGGAAGAAGAAAAGGAAAAAAAAAAAAAAGCAAGAAGCAATTGTTACTGTTCTTAATACATTTTTAACTGGTCTATTTTATAAGAGATAGTGGGTTTTAATACAATTGTCTTAATTTAAAAAAAAAAAAAAAAAAGACAAACCCCCTCCCTTTATTAAATGAACTGAAGAAAAAAGCAACGCAAAGCAAAAAAAAACCTTAGAGCAATGGAATTCCAAAGTCTGGATGCTAATCAGAAGAAATGCTTCAAGTTCACCAATTCTTACGTATAGTATTCTGCCCAGAACCCATGCTTTAGTAATGCATTTTTAGTTATACACCTCTTAGGAAAATCTTCTGCAACTCAACTTTATTTTCCTGCAGTATGTGTTTTAATATAACCATAGCATTAAAATACTAGTATTTCCTCATTGCACAGAAGAGTAACACATGCTATCATAAATAGTAATAGTTTCAACAGACCTAACAAGGACTGAAAAGAAAGAATCTATTGTTCACGGCTGGAGCTAATGCTGTTACTACGGAGAACAAGTAAAAAAATTGTAGGACTACTACTTCTATAATAAATTTTCATCTTATTCCAACATTTGTTTTTTTAAAAAAATATCCGGCCTTTATTCATGTATAAAGGCTAAGTAAATAAATGCTTTGTATTTTCTGTTTACTATTTCAGATTGCCTGAAACACTGCCATTACAAGTAAACTGCTTAATTCAAACACCTCACATCCTTGTCTCTTACCAGGAAGAATATGCATTGCAGACTACAGTGCAGTGTAACCAGTCTTAAACATTGCACAATTATTATGATATGCTTGCTAATACCTAGCTCCAGTCCTTTTTTCCATGCTCTGAATTAATAAAAAAAGTACAAATCAAGCTGTTAATGCACAAGGCGTATGTCCTCAGAACTGCAAATGCTGCTGTAATAACTTTGAAATAGCACATCTTTTAAACTCACCTGTAGCCAATTTGGTTAATGTGATCCGTCTCTAACAACATCTTCCATAGGAGACAAAGGAAAAGTGGGGGTGAACCTTGCATAGAAAAATGTGTGATTATATCATTCTCATTGGTCATAGACTTCCACTTTCGGTATTCTTCTTCCACATTCTTCTTCAAGTTAAAACGGCTTTCCTGAGGTACGTTATTCTGCTTGAAGAATACCTGAAATAAAGTAGGCTTTGCTGTGACTGAAAGCCTAGAATAAAACATTTGAACAGGCAAATTTTTGCCTGACTTAGCACCTTATGAGTTCCTACTTCCTTGTACAATACAAACCTACTAGGTAGGGTTGTTGCTTCACTGTGACACCACAGTGACTGTTTTGTCACTAACAAAGCTACACAACAAATTGCCACAAGAAAAAAGGCTTCTCCAACTTCCTTTTTTATTTTGTTTTTTAACTTTTAAAAGATCTGATTTACCTTCCACCAGAAGTATCAGTTGGCCAAACTTGGCCTTAGAATACTCCAGGAGAATCTAAAGCATTTCTGAAGAAATAGCAATGTTACAATCACACTGCATTCTTTAGGGACTTGAGATCAATGTACTCTGGACAGAGGAAGAATCTCACCAACTAGCAAAAGGCAAAGGATCTTGTTAAGAGAGTAAATTCTCTGTATTTCCAATTATAAAATCATCAGTTTGAAACTATTACCTGCAGAGGAGCTGGAAAACAGCTTAGTGTATGTGATGCCCAGTTATGTGGAGTAAAACTCATGATAGTCTGCAATATATCCTTGCACCACGTTCCCTGAATTGAATCAGAGCCTGTGAAAAAGTCTAGAAAATGGATTAATGATATTAGAATTTCACACACACAAAAAAATTCTTATTGGTATTCCTTTTGTAGTCACATGCATCAAGGCTTTGCTAGTTCAACAGGCCAACTTCTCCCATCCCCTTTCTTTGAATCTCACTTACTCTGTAGAACAAGCTGGATATTATCTTTTTTTTTTTTACGCTGTTAACAATAACAAAATTATTTTTAGGTTTTGAGCTAGAAATAAGGCAATCATGATTTTAAGATTTTATATTTAATTTCCTGTAATGACAGTAAGACAAGCTTTTGCTGATTAACTGATTAGATTTAAAAAAAAAATCCTGAGGAAGATAATGATGATGAAATTGCCAGATCCCATTTTATATTGCTTTAAAAAGGCTGCTCAGCAATACCTTTCCCAATTAAGCTGTAGAAATAAAACACTAGCCTCATCCCCCCAACCCCAGTGTTGATTTATCATTAAAGATTGAGCAAACGTTTAAAAAATAAAAAAACTGACACAAAGAAGCCCTTTCCCTTTAAAATCACCTCCACCAGTTTTCGTGAAATAGCATTATTCTAACTCTCCAGTGAGTCTCCAGACTAGAACCATAAAAAAGGAGATAGAGAAAACATCCCCCTCAAAGCTAACAAAAACCTGACCCATGTCATTGCACATTGTTAAAACATTAAAACACACAATAAAAGCTTCCCCCTCTCCCCAAGAAAGCAAACCCAAAACACACACTGCTTTTTCTTAAAGGTAAGCTGTAGGCTTCCACATGAGCAACATACTTGCTGTGAACACTCCATTTTTTTTTTTTTTTTTTTAAATGGCACGTATCAGTAATCAATCCAAACATTTAAATTTAAAATAGTGAAACTGAAAATAAGACAGTAAAAAAACTAGTCACACTGTATCTCTGTATAAAAATAAACTTTTAAACGTCTGATTTCACTATCGCTTTAATAACAGCTTTTTGCCTAAAAACAAGTAGTTGAAAATTAAAATTACACTGTTTTCAAAACCAGAAGTGTATGGGATATGTTTTATGACTGGGTCATTTCCATGATATTCTATTAAACAGTACTTTACAGAAATGGCTTGACTACAGCTTTCACTTAGATGTTATCTCACAGTACTATTACCTGTCACATGTGTTGCCCTTGCTAGAGTTAAGATTAAAGCCCTGTTGAGTTCTTCTGATTCTGCTGAAAGAACTGTTTTGGGATCACTGAGGAATCGTGTAAACTGTGGTTGGACTTCCGAGCTGCCCAAAGCTGTGATTAGCCTCAGAGCAGTACTCTCAACACTGAAAGAAGGAAACAGTCCAGTTAGCAAATAATGCTTACACTGCTGCTTCTAATATTCCAAAAATACCTATTTTTCCTCCATTTTCTGCTTCAAATAATACAAAAACATTTGTTTTGAAAGTGATGTTCTTAACCTTTTGGAAAAGTTTGCTTTTTCCACTGTTTAATAAACTTGTTATCAACTATTTGAGTACTTTATTTCCAAATAAAGCTCTCAAATGTTGATTTAGTGAAAATTCCAGGGGCAGAGCCCCTGAAAAAGAGCCTCAAGTCTCTCCAATATAAAGATCCCCCTTTTGTTATCTTCTGAACATCTTTGTCTAAACAAGGGTACACAGATAAATAAATACATGCAAAAACAGAATAAAAAGGCATGAATAATGCATGGGAAGTTTCAAAGCTAACTATCACTTTGAAGCAGACAGCACTAAATTGTCCTTATTAAAGAAATGAGGAAGTACTGCTTTTGATTAAAAGCACTTTATCTTCCAGTGCTCTAGTTGGAAGCACTTTTCACACCAGGTAGTTTGAAGTAATTTAAGAGACTTTTATGACATTGTGTCTTTGAAATGCCAAAGCCATAGGTTAGTTTACTCCAATCTAGTTGCATGCAGTGCTTATCAAAAGTGACTGATTAACATCCATATTTCACAGACTAAGACCACAAAAAGATTTTGAATTTAAGGAGAAACTTGTCTTCACTTGTTGTCTTTATTCTTGATAAAGGATAAGCAACTGAGCAATTTGCATTTGGACTAACAAACTACTGTGTAATTAGACTTCCTTGATATGAACTGATAATAATGAGGTTGCTCTGTCTCCCTCACGTACACCCACAAGAAGTATTCTACTCTAAGACTGAATGAACACTCTTTTCCCCAACTTTTCTACAACAAACCCCAGGTTCTACATACAAACTGAATCTCATACTCTTCAACTTTTTTAGGAGTAAGTTAAACTCTTTTCCCTAAAATTAGCTGCATATCAACTCTAGAGCTTCTTTAACCAGCTTTTCCTTCTTTCTTGTATCCAAATTAGCCATTGTTTTATGCGTGGTTTACGCTGACACACACCAGACGATGCAAGTGTACGTTTTTCCCCACTCAGGTTCATGTACAGCCACCATAGCTTTGCCCCAACTCCTTTACAGCTGCAGGATGAATCTGATTATTTCTCTGGTCTGACTGAAATTAACTTCGCTAAAGAATTAAGTGGAACCAGCTTAACTCTTGCAATGGAATTAAACATCCTCTACAGGAGTAAGCAAGCGCAGTCCCGCTGGCAGACAAGCCAATCACTGTGACTACAAGTAGCAGGGATTGCCCTTTATCTCCTGTGCAAGCTCAACAGTTGCCTGACACTTCCTGACATGACAGTTCTGGTGCGCATTCCTGTGTTTTGACCTGTGACATGTCTGTGCAAAAGGCTGCCTCATGCAACTGCAGAGTGCTACTGCTAACATCTAACTGTATTTCTGAAACATGACCTGCTGAGATACCACAAAACAATTTAGCCACAGAACTAATACGGGGAAGTACTCATGTCCCATTTAAAACACAGTTCTCACACAGCTTTCAACATATGATGAAGGAAGAATCTGAGATTACGGTTAAACATGGTAACCATCACTCACCACAGATGAAGCTGGTTCTGGTTAGTCTGTGGCACAGCAGCCAAGGAATGAAGATGGCTCAGCAGCTGGACTCTGTAATGAGGCTGGATGTGATGCATCCGATAGCTAAACATTTCTAGCAGAGTGTGCAAAATTCCCCATGCGTGAGATTTGAACACTGTTGGCAGGAGCTGACCTTATGAAGTAAGAATTTGTAAAGTAAGTTTTCCAAGTGATTACACTTTAAAATACAACTACAAAGTACACTGTGGATAGATGATTGTATTTAGCTGCAAGTCAGATATTTGATTTGAAAATTTTATTACCTCCAAAGAGTGCGCGTGCAAGAGCTGTCTGAAGATGCTGTAAACGCGTAAAGCTCCATAATCTTTTGAATGAACTTATACAGCAGACATCCAAACTATTTTAACAAGTGCAATTAAATATCATTTGTGTCTAATTAAGTAACTTTTTTACGACTTTCCATTTAGCATAGTTTTGCACAACACAGCCTAACAGGTTGCTCACCATATAAGTGATGGCATAAAGGGACAGCAGCACACTCATCTAAAATTTACTGCAGCACTAGGATAACCATTACAATTTCTTTTATATTAAAATAGTTTATGCATGTATTCAACATGCTGCATCATTAGATTTTCATTTTTACTATGGTTTCTAGTTGCTGTTTAAAGAAAATGGTACTGAACAAAAGGAAGGAAGGGAAAAAAAAAAAATGTTTTCTTTCTTACTGATGAAGCCTTTGATGCCCAAGGACTCTATTTCCATATAAACCAACAGGCGACTATAGGTTTCCACAAGAGCAGGAGCCAAGGCCACACTAGATTTTGCATGAGCCAACTTAATTACCCTTGTAGCTATGCTATGAATCAGACTGAGGAAAGAAAAAAAAGTATTTTTCAATCAAAAACAAGGACTTGAAAGTTAAGAAATTTATTAAGTAAATCAGCAGATCTATACATGACATGTCCAGACAGAGGAAAGTTTTCCTGATGATAATTAGTTACAGGTGGGGGGGAAGGTAGCTGCATACTGTACCTCATTTTGGCATGAACTGTGAGTGAGTCCAAGAGGTTCATTGGCAATGGGGTAATAGAACCTGATGCCATGCAATTAGTCCCTGGAAGAGCTATCCTCATGTTGCCATTTCCATAAATAGTCTCTACTAGTACACCCATTGGCAAAGTGAAACACTCTGAATTGGTTGAATAAGCATTGCACAACAAGGCAATCTTGTAGTCATTCATCTGTAAGCTTTTATTTCTTAAACTCTGTTGCAAAAACCTGCATACCAAAGAGATTAAACATTAAGTAGAAAGAAACAAGCAGAAGAACACACATGCATTCTAGGATTACAGCCACAATAACCCCAATCAAAAATCCATTGTAAAATAGTAGAAAAACCAAAATACTTATTAATTGCACCACATCAAAATGACTACATCTTATGCCACAGTTCCACTGTGTTACGATTTTCCTATATCGGAGAACACCTCAGGAGAAAAATACACTTTAAAAAACACCTTTCCAGACAAACCTTAACCTAAGGTACTGCTCATCCACACTTTCCAAACTACAGCATACTAAAACAAAATAGTCGATTTGTTTTCAGATTCTCCATCAGTAAAAAAGATTTATTAATCTGAGATGTAATATATTATTTCCATTAGCTGTATGATAATAGCATTTCACTTTTTATGGAATATTTTGACTTTGAGCTCTTTCTTAGTCCTGCTTCATTGCTTTGATGAACCTTATACAGCATCCCATTACACAATACATTCTGAATACACACTTGGAGCTTCCTATTCCATTATGTGTAGAGACAAATCAAAACATAACAAAACCCCCAAAACTCACTCATGGTGAAGTTTAAGAGAATGAGGAATGGGAATCTGTAACTTGGAGTTGTCACTATGGGCCTTCCGATTCAGATGAATCCAAATACAGGTCATTGCAAAAGCATGAGTTGACTGGGGTTTGTTAATATCAGGTACAGGAATACACTAAAGAAAGAACACATGAATGTGACATATTGCATGCATTAATGTACAGAAAACCAACTTAGATAGCCAGCATTCACAAGGTCAAGTTTTTCTTTTTCTGACTTGCAACACCATAAGCAACATTTTTAAAGAACAGCTTCTACCCTCATCTGGGTACGCAATTTTAAATCAAGATCTCTGGACGAGACCTGGACCTCAGTAATTATTCTGAAAAAAACCCAAAACAAATAACCTAAGACTTCAGCAAATGGAAGTTCAAGCTTAGAATATATAAATTCAAGACATATATAGTTACAAAGTGTATACTTCTACTCTCAGCCTCCCACTTATGTTATTCAGAAATCAGTTATGGTATGTGCTTCCACAGTAGGTACTCAGTGGTTCACCAGTATTTTCTGAAAAATTTGATTTGTCTAGCATCACTGCTATACTTAAAGATTAATACACTTTCTATGAAAAGGAACAGATACACCCCAAAATTCAAAAGGTTTTGGCTACAGACTCAGGTATATTGCTGCCATAGGAAAAGGCACGCTTGCTCTCTCCTTTTGCCAACATCCACATTTCTTTACCCTTTGTACAGTTACTACTGCTCAAGCACCACTGATAGCACAAGTGAGACAGCAGCAACACATAATCAAGGGGAGAGTAAGACAGATCCTCTAAAGAGCAACAGCTGCAGATAACATTTAAACTGCTTGTGAAATTGAATCCTCAGAAATGCCCTAGTCCCACAAACACCTTAGACAAGTATAACTCAGAACCCATCACCACAGTTGAAGTACATAGTCCCATCACTCTTCCCGTATTTTGTGCTGACAAAAGCAATTACAAGCTCATGAAACAAATTGTACTGAAGAATTTCTGTGGGTCAAAACTAACTTAAGAGGGGGAAAAATTGCTACGTATCAGTTTGGTACACCACACATTGGTGTTACCATATCTACTGACCCAAAATAGAAGGCACCATGATAAGAGCAAGCAATCAGTGCTTCATGCTGACAACGCTGTCACGGTGGAAATTTAAGAACTTCCCCTAACTCCCCCTTCCTCGGGAACCTTCATTCTAGAGGAATGTACAAAGCATGACTAGGATCTGATTTACTATCGCAGAATGAATTTTAAGTAACCATTAATACAAAACAAATTTAAAGCGTCTTGTTCCGTTCTTTGGACCTGAAAGTGTCTCTCAGTGTATTATTCTGTTACAGCCCAGATGTAACAATGAAATCCCACAACATTATTCCTTAATAGTATCCTCAATGCTTTAACAAACTCCTCAAAACCTTAGTCAAACCAAAGTCAAGAAAGAGATGATTAACAGAAGTCTTTTTTGCCCCTAAAAATACTGCATAAATGCAGTTACTGGAAAAATATAGTGAGGAAATCCTGAAAACTTTCATTTAATTATGAAACATCTCTCTCCAACTATGCAGCACACTGCTGTAACAGTGACTCAAGAATTATAGTAATATTGACATATGAAGGTCTCAGGTTGAATTAAAAATAAAACTTCTAATTTCAGAGAGAAGACTTACTTCTTTCTCAGGATACAGGAGGTCAAAAAGCTTCATAACTGGAAGGAAGTCAGCCAGTGCATTCTTCTGGATGCTGCCAGAGATGAACTGGAGTAGCACCCACATCAGATGGTCTCTTCCTTTAATGAGACCACGGCCTGCCAACTGTCAAAAACACTCAGTAACAGACAAATACTGCATGCAGAGGAAAAATCACTGCAAAGATTCCTATAAAAGTAGAAGGGCAGACTAAAACAGTTCCAGCAGAGATTACTGGGAATTTTATAGCAGGACTTAAGCAGAAATGTACGTCGTGTTTTCAGAAAGATTGCAAACAGGTACCTTAGTTGTAACACAGAAACAGACTCTGGGAGGGCCGCAACAATTAATGGTAGGATCCTCTTAAATATTGGACTTACATTGTCAGCCCTGTAACCAAGTACAGTATTGCCATTCCTAGCAGCAGGCCACAGGTTTTATATTAACTCTATCTATAAAGAAAGTCTCTGAACCAGAACAACTTGGGCTCGCTTCATCTGGACTCATCTGGATGTTTTATTTTTTTGTTATTTAACTTCATCTGCAACAGCAATTCTCTAATAACCAGTACTCTACTCTTAACTTCCACTCTTATCTAATTTGGTTTAGTTTTAGATTAGATTTGTGCAATTGTGTTGTATAGTGCCTATTGTTTCAGTGGTTCATTAACAGTAATTAAACCTGGTAAAACTAATTGCAGGGATATCAAAGAGAGCAGAGAACTAGAATCCATCACAACTAAAACATAACATAATAAATTTTGATGTAACATGGAACTGTGGACAAATGAAGATGGACCAATGTGTAGTGCATGTTAGAAACAGTTTCTAAATAGCCACAAGCTAATCCTACAGTGGCGAGAAAGAACACCCCTTTCCTACCATTGACACCATACTTTCTCTCAGCAAAGAGCTCAGGATGTTGCTGACTTACTGTAACTCCTCCTCTCCTTTCTCATGGAGGACTGGCACCACCACCCTTAGAATTCAGAGAGGCACTGAGCACCAGAGAAAAGGGTAAATACTAGAAAGTGTATCAGTTTTAACAGAATTATTATTAGGAAGTAACAATAACTTTGGACTGTGATTGCCAATATCACTGTAATTGGACAAATGATCTTTGATTAGATTGCTTTGATTAGATTGATTAGACAAACTATAAGTTCTTGCATCCATTCACATGGCATGTTTCTTTAGCTCACAAACTGAGCAGGGCATTTGCTCTGTTTGAAGCTTGGATGTAAACTGGATGTAACAGCCCAGTACTTGGGTCTTCTGAATTATGCCAATTTATCTCGTTACTCTAGTTACTAGCACATTTTGAATCCAAATATAATGCAACATTCTGTAACTGAATACACTAGAAACAGACCTAGCTCACAGCAACGTAACTTGAGAATTTGACTGACTTCTACAGAGCACAACAATCAAAAATTTAATTCCTACACATAAGGTACTTCTTGCACAGTGAGTGACCTTTTTTTTTTTTTAAACTTGTTTTGTTTTTAAAATCTCTCTTACCAAGTGGGAGCGATACAAACAATTTACCTTTTGATGGAGTGACAGGACCATATGAGGAAAACTTGCAAACTGAAAGAGCACAAAGAAAATGAGCTGGCTGGAGAGATGCTGCCACAGAAGCTGGCTGGTTCCACCATCATCAAACTTCTCTTCAGTCTCAGACCGTTCCATGGCATACACCACAAGATCCACCAGCTGGTCCTCCAGCACAGGGCAGCGTTGCTTGTGCTGTAAGGCAGAGATCAGATACAGTATTCCAAAAGCCTTGCCATTAACTTCAGAACTTGTACAGTTGCAGTTACAGTAGGGTATTTTGACAGAAGGCTGGGAAGCATGAAATGAAGTCTGAACTTAAGTTAAGGATAAGCCAGTGTATTAAAGCTGCACTATGTTACAGGTCACGATGATTTTTACATTTACATTTTTATCACACATTACGTAATTCTCTACTCAGTTCCAAAACACAGATCATCAATGCACAAATAACATCTGGGGGTTTTGTTTGTGTTTTTTAATAAATTCATGCAGAATGTTATTTCTCTGATCTTCCATTCATGGAAAACAAAGTCCATTATTTTAACACACTGGTGGGGGTTCTTTTGTTTGTTTGGGGTTTTTTTGTTGTCGTTTGTTTTCTTTTTTCCTTCCCTCTTTTCTCCTTTAAAGTCCATTTCAAAAGTAGGGATCACCGTAAAGAAAAGTATATATCAATTATACCACCAGACTCAGAGGAAACATCCCAATGCACAATATAGGTGTTTAATGACTATTCTCTTTTGCACCCTCATTTTGGACTCACCTACAACTAGCAGCAGAATTAACACCTGGTTAATATCCCTACAATTAGGTGCTGTCCTATTGTCACAGCACCACCTGATACAAGACAAGATCAAAAAGATTTGAAAATTAATCTGATAAAAGTGGTTATGTTCTACATACTGTGAATAGAACAGAATTTACATATCATGTAGAGTGATGAGCTCTTTAGATGTTATGTTTACACTGTCACAATCTCCACAGTGAGCTATGCAAACACAGAAATAATTTAAAATACACACCTTCCCTGATGACTTTTAATAATGATCAAGTAAGGAATGCGTTATATATTCAGATACATATGTTAGTACAATGTATGTAAAGCAGGCTACCACTGCTAGTGGTTTGGAACTCTGATTATATATCTTCAATTTAAGACCATCAAGTATAATGTCACATATCCCAAGTTCTTTAGTGCAACAACCTTTTATTACCCTGCATTCATATAGTTATACTGGTGCAAAGTACTATTACTAATGACAAAAAGCTGTGTGGAATTTAACCTATTTCACACAGCGCTAGCACTTTGGAAATAATCCAGCCTCTGTTTTTGTTTCATTACAATCTCTATTCAGGAATAGTTTTGTTTGTTTGTTTGTTCTGTTGCTTGGGGGGTTGGGGGGTTTTTTGTTTATTTGGTTTTGGTTTGTATTTTTTTAAACACCTGATGCCTGTAACATAATGCAGCCTTAAAGAAAACATTATTACTTTAATGATACAAAAGAAAAGGAACTGAGCTGCTCAAACACTAATCATGAAAATGCAGTATCCCTTTCTAGAGGCAAAAAGGTGTATGTAAAAAAGTTGAAAAAGATTGCCCAAATACTCATAAAACATCTTAGGGATGCCTTAGATGAGTTCTTTGACTTACTAGCCAGGCAGCCTAAAAAAACCCTTTTAATCAATAAAGAAAGAAATAGTAAAAGGAAAGAGAGATGCTGAAAGGAGATGCTTGTTCTACGTTCATCGATGGTAGCCTTTTGCCATGAAAAAAAAGAGATCCTCTCCAATTAAAAATAAAATGCAAGAATGGGAAAAGTTAACAAAATATAGTGAACAGCATCCCCTGTTGCATGCTCTTCGCCAGTTCAAAACTGCAGAAAGCTACAATTCTAGCTGTGCTTTCTTGAAGCATGCTTAACGCAAACCTCTAACTAAAACAGAAAGCATCGATTACTGTTTCACCTTCTCCTCCAGTACGCAATGCCATTATCACAGATCAACCACGTTACAGGTTTACAGAGAGCAGTATTAACACCACCAGTTGAGAATACTTCGGGGGTTTTGCGGTTCGTTTTTTTCCCCCTCCCAAAGCAACTAATTATGAAGCAGAGCAGGGTGCAACAGACAACACTACAGACTAGTTTATAATCCAGCATGCAAAACTACTATGTACAGGGCTTGAAATTTAATAGTTTGCTAAGCACTGTGTTAATGTCCAAAAGCCTAATCATGTTAGGCTATATTAATTTAGAATAAAGTTATTCAGAGAATACAACAGGAAAATATTACTGTTAAAAAGAAAGCCAGAATTTCCAGTAGGAATTTTCACTATTCTGAGTAATTCTAAGATTGGGAAAAGTTTAGAAGCCAGGAAATTAAAAAAATAAATTCACTCTTTTATTCTGAAAATCACACTTTTATTGCTTTAAAAACAATTTTCAATAAGAAATATAGCAGTACTTCACTGTCTATCTTCATTAATTTAATTTTCTGGCATTTTTTTTTTTTCTGTATTTTCAGTCAATATACATTTTTGCACAAATTTTGTATCTGTAGTTTTGGAGAACTCAGAAATAAAATATCGTGCTGCATAAGAATTTGCAGGATTGGGGCCTTGTTTTATTAATTACTCATAACTGAAAAAACATCTCAGTATTTACCGAGATGAATAAAAATATAGGTGAGAGCTGATTTTCCTCACAAATAAGTAGGAATTCATGTTTTGGTATGGCTTAAAAACAAGAACAAAAAACCAAACCAAACACTGGTTTGGATTATATATGGAAAAATATAGCATTCAAAACCACTATGCTTTTTTCCTAAAGAGAACATAATTCAAATTTTTGTAATTTATATAAATACATATTCTCCATTTTGCCCTGAAAATAATATTTAAAGATCTGACAATACATAATCTCACTGAAAACACTATTAAATCATAAAGAAATACCGGGGGGGGAAAAAAGCACCACCGTGACAACTTGATACTAAAATTTCTCTCGAGACCAGCCCTCTGATGGACTCGTGGTACTTTTTTCAGTGGATCAAAGCTTCAGTTGGGTTTGGGTTTTTTTTTTTTTTTCCGGTTGGTTGGGTTTTTTTGGTGGGTTGGGGGTGGGGGGAGCAGGTAGAGTTAAAAGTGTTCCCTAAAAGAAAAGTATTTTAAGAAGTCAGTAAGGCTAGCTGCAAGCTTTTACAGTTTTCAAATATTTTAAGCAAACATTTCGCTCAAAAATATTTAATAAGTATCTACACTTAAGAAATGGATTCAGAAGACCAAACCTCAGAGCCCAAGATCCAAGAGTAAATGGTGTTTCCAGAAGTCCAATTCAAAATGTAAGTTAAATGCCTGAAGTAGTTAATACAAGACAAAACTATAGCCCCCCCTCTCACCTCCATTTTCCAAAACTGTATGCTACCAAGACACAAAACCTTAACGCTTGTTGTTTAAATTATGCCTGATTCTACTTCTACCAAGTTCGATAGGCATTCTCAAGCTTTCCTCATCAAAAAAACGGAGTAAGTTTCAGCAAGGAAGTTGCACTCAAGTGTTCTCAACACACACTCTTACAATCAGAAATATATAAAAAATAATCACGCCCCTTAATTTAAGTACTTTGCCATGTTAACACTAATAATATCAGACAGCAAGTTCCCAGCATCAACCTACAATATTTTAAAAATAAAAGGGAAAGGAAAGTAAATTTTTGCATATTGCATTATGTCATTCCTTTCACTTAATGATTCTGCTTACACAATGCACGGACAGACATGAAATAAACAACATGTTCCCCAAGCAAACTATCCTGATTTGTAGCTAGGAGAGAATACAACTACACATTCACCTGAACAGAGTACGGCACAGATAATTTCCTACTCAAAGCTGCAGATCACCACTGCTGGTTTAAAAGGTGACCAGCCAAATATACTATTTAAAGAGCAAAATCATTAATACAATAGCTGCTAATTAAAATTTTGTATAACATTATAGAAACAAGACACCTGAAAATTACCTCCTCTTTCAAATACTCCCCAACACAGAGAAATCAAAGTTTAACAGTTTTTCATTGTTTAGAGGACTGCAATACAATCCTGACTGCAATTATGCAAGCAAAAATGGCATTTTATTCTTCATGCAAGTCTATACATAGAGAAGGTAAAGATATAAACCAAAATGTTCAAAGTGACTTCATGTCCCTAAGACACTACTAAAGCTCAATTTTAAGAACCAACTGTAGGATCCCTAAACCGAATCTTAATTTGGCATCAGTGTATTAAGACACTTTGAACTGTTAGTAATTTTCCAAAAAACAGATTGTTACATACCTCAACAAATTACTTAAAAAATAATTAAGTATTGGGAGTATCACCCCAGCTAACAGCAGAATATAAATTGACACAGAATCATAGAATCATTCAGGTTGGAAAAGACCCTTAAGATCATCGAGTCCAACCATAAACCACGATAACATGCTGTCCTGGGTTCGGCTGGGATTGAATTGATTTTCTTCCTATTAACTGGCATAGTGCTGTGTTTTGGATTTAGTATGAGAACAATGCTGATAACACACTGATATTTTAGTTGTTGCTAAGTAACATTTACATAGTCAAGGACTTTTCAGCTTCCAGTGCTCTGCCGGGTGCGTGGGGGGCTGGGAGGGAGCGTGGCCAGGACGGCTGGCCCAGCTGGCCAATGGGCTATTCCATACCATATGACGTCATACTCAGCATATAAAGCTGGACAAAGAAGAAGGAAGGGGGGGGATGTTTGGAGTGATGGCGTTTGTCTTCCCAAGTAACCGTTACGCGTGATGGAGCCCTGCTTTCCTGGAGATGGCTGAACACCTGCCTGCCGATGGGAAGTAGTGAATGAATTCTTTGCTTTGGTTTGCTTGCGTGAGCGGCTTTTGCTTTACTTATTAAACTGTCTTTATCTCAGTCCACAAGTTTTCTCACTTTTACCCTTCCAATTCTCTCCCTCATCCCATCGTTGGGGAGTGAGCTAGCAGCCGTGTGGTGCTTAAGTGCTGGCTGGGGTTAAACCATGACACAGACATGATAAAATACAAATTAAATTTCTACTTCCTATAGACCAGTTCAAACAGGTATACAAGAGAAGATACTGTCCCACACAGAAATACACAGTAGCAAAAACCAGAAATCCCCAGACTTCGACAGAAGGAACATTTTGAAGTCTGTATTATTACATCTGGACTTAAAGCCATATATTTGATAAACGTATTGGAAAACCTCATCCCACAACAAAACTTATAATCCTGAAAGGAACATAGGAATCTACAAACATATCAAGTTTTACCTTCATTTTTCTCTCTGCAAGGATAAAAGGACAGTTGGATTTGTACTTTTTTTACACAACTCAGAGATGGTTTGAATGAACAGTTTTCTACCATAGATCTGCTTAGTTAAGATTGAACCAGAAAATTTCATTGTTCATCTTCAAGAATATTTGAGAACTAGGACAAATTTGGCTGAACCATACCTAGTTTGTGATGCCAAAAGATTCATATGAAGGCTCCAATCCTGCAACTGGATCTGTGTAAACAGTTGATAGGGCATACAAACAGCTTCACATAAATAATTAATGATCATAAATAAATAATGATCATTGCTTTGAGGTGTTTCTGTATTTATTTTGAAACAAACTCGGCACTATTTGTATTTCTAAGTGTCTTCTATTATACTGACAATTCATTTATGCAGGTTAGTTCAGTTCTAATAATAAAATACAAAATTATCAGCCATTTTATTGAAAGCGTCGATACAGTTACACAACTTCTGAAAAGCATGCTACTATTTTTTGTCAAGTGGCTACATTAACAAATTCAACAATAACATGAAGTTCATTTGTACCTAAAAGCAAGTAACATTTTAATGTTTTCCACAGTTTTAAACGGAGTATATTAATGTTTAAACGGAACATTATTTCCTGTTCTATACCACTACACCACCCTACTCTATATTTATATTTTTAACTCACAAATTTTCAACAGCCCAAACATTCTTATGCTGATGTAATTGTAGTAGCACAGCTATAGTTCATGTTCTGTCAGCATTTCCTTTATAAGCTACGTTCTTCAAGTTTGTTCCTTGGCCATAAAAATTCACACCAGGTTGAAACTTTGTGTAGGAATTCCTATACTAGGAAACAAATTTTAAGAAGTATAGTTCAATATATTTCATTGCTTCATTTAAGTTCTCTTCAGTTACTTTTAGAGGACAGCAAAGTAGGAGTTAAAAACCAGCATTTTTAACATCAATGTTATTTGACCTGAAGGCACAGACCACCCATACTTAGAAGAATAAAATGGGTTCAATATATTTTTTTTCTGGATTATTTACCAGCTACAAGATGCATAGAGGAATAGTTAGACTTATTAACTGAATGTAGACACAGAAATAGACACAGAATACAAATACTACTCATTTCAACAAGAAACCTAGCAGCTCGTTTCCAAGGTTTAACATTTCAGCTGCCTTAAGTCTCCAATACAAAAGATTGTCGTATACAACACAGAGTGCTGTTTGTCAAGGTGTAGGAATCTGCGCATTCAAAACCATTGTCCTAATCCAGAAAGAGCACTGGTGTATTTCACTTACAATGGGAAATATACACAAGGTTTCAGGATCAGGTAAATTTTATAGTCAAGTTACAAATCTGAAAAAAGTTTCTTAAATGGAAACACTGACACAACCTTCACTATAGTATTGCAAACAGCAACGCTATTTTATAAATCTTAAACAATGTTTTTTAAAATAGGTGTGGAATTGATTATTGTAACAAGGGATCAACTGTAAATATAATACCCATGATTTCAAATTTCAAGTAGAAGTCCACTTGGTTGATTTGCTCAGGCATTTATTTATTTATTTAAACAAGTAGTCAAATTTTAAGGAACTACTTTTCACATGGTATCCTGCACTACCTTTCTTTCACCTAGCTTGGAGAATATTATAATTGTCTGTTGGGAAGTTTGTTACAGAGGCTTCCTAATGATAAGAAAATTCCACTAGTAAAGCTTTTTTTTTTGGCTTTTTTTTTTTTTTTAAAAAAAAAACCAGTGATGTATTTACAGCTTTATAATTTTACAATCAAGTGCAGTGGATGTTTTCCCACCTGCATAAGGAAAGAAATTTTGTACTACGAATGTCTCCTCATCTGAAAATTCCAGCAGACAAAGTAAAAGTTCTTATGACGGGTATGGGAAATGGTAGCACTCCATTCCAACCAAAATTTTAGGACCAAAGGACCACTGACTGTCAGCTTTATGCTACGTCTCTCATATCTCTAGAGATTTATAGTGAGAATTTGCCCTTGACTAATGGTCCTCCCAATTTCAAGCCCTGACTGTACACGTATTCTCTAACTGGAATCAGTGGCTACAAAGCGGCCAGCGTATCGTTAGTCACAATACAACAGTAAGGTTGTGAACATACCTGAGCAATGTTCAAGGTCTAGAGCATTGGAGGATGGGCAGGACAAGACAGGACAGAACAAAAATAAAGGAAGAAAAAAAGAAAAGACAAAACAGTGACTATGAGGCCAGCCTCAAGGATCCCCAAGTCAGACTAAGCCCACCCATTCTAAGGTATAAAAAGAAAAAATGTAAAAAACCAAAACCCAGCTTTTCACTATTCTAGTACTAAAACATGCCAATATAACAGAGTACAACAATGCTTTAAAAACTAATGAACAATAACCATTTTTATTGTTTGAGCTAGCAGTCTCCTACTGTCTGTCAAAGGTGTACTTGAGGCTGGCCTTATAGGAAAAAAAAGCAATGCAAAAAAAAAATCATATTTTAAATCTCTACTTTTCAATTTAACATTCGTAAAGCAATATACAAATGATAGGAATAACAGTGTCCAATTAACCTAATATGATCTCATAAAAAAATAAAAATACAAAAATAAAAATAAAAAATTCACTCTCTGGACCTAAACTGTTTTGCTTAGTTAGCTATAGCAAAGAAAAGAGAAAAAGAATAGTGCAGATTCTATGCAGAATTAAATCACGTGTTACAGCATAGTACAGTACCTGCTTATTCAGACCTAGCATATTGCAGACCATATCCCTTGAATACGGTTGTTCCAGCACATATCTCAACAAAGCAGTCTGTGGCTCAAAGAGATCCTTAAAAAAAAAAAAAAAGCAATCACATACAAACATATATTGCCTCAAGATTATGTTTAATACTGAGTTTACGTTTAACTGAGTTAACTGAGTTAAACAATATAAGAATGAATGTTTAATTTATGCAGATATGTATTATCTGGCAAATCTTTTTGCTCTCTGATACCCAAAAGCAAGCAGGAAATAGTCACAGCTCTTAACAAGTGACAGATGTTATGGGGACCAAGTAGAAGAACGTTCTTCATCCAATAGAAGGATGGCACACTTTTTGAAACAGCCTTGAAATACTGAAGACTGTCAAGATCTCAAAGGAAGCCAGGTAAAACAACTGAGGAAGCACATGACTAAGATCCATAAAAATCATGAGTAGCATGAAGAAAGGTGATATGGAACAACTGCTCACTGTATCTTCCAATAGCTGAATCACTTTAAAGAAAAACATTATCTGAAGCTAGGTTCAAAACAAACAGAAGGAGCTGATTCCTCATGCAACATGAAGTTGAAATGTGGAACTCCTTGTCAAAGGGATGTTGAGGATGCTAAAAGTTTACATGGGTTCAAGAGAAGACTGAACAAATATTTGAAAGAGAAAGGTTTACCAAATATATAGAAACCAAATCTGTCTCAGGAAACACCCAAAATTATAATGGCTGTATAGTGTGAACACTATATATGTCATTAGATATACTATCTTTATATCCTTCCTTAGACACCTAGGATATGGGGAATGGGACGCTGGACAACGTGGATTTTTGTCCTGATCCTTTACAGTTTTTAAATTCTTTCAGTACACCGCTATTTCACACTCAGAGTTTTAAGTTTAAATAAGGTAACTTATATTTAATTTTGAATTGTAAAATTCTCTCTCCTATGGAATAACAAAGAGCACAGAAAAGAAGAAACTACCTTCCCATTCTCCTTCATCTCCCCACTGTTAAAATAATTTTCCAATAATTTCTCTGCTCTCACTTGCTCTCTCTCTCTCTCACACACACACACAAAGCACATTAAGCATCTCATGTTCTTCAGCATCCTGGGAAGCAGTTATACCACACACTACTTTAAAGGTCCTCCGCATATAGCTTGAAATCATATAAATATATATATGAATCATACGAAATATATAACACAGTGAAAACATCTACGTCTTCAATGTTAGCCTAGCTGGAACAATTGGATATTCACAGTTGAAATTACTTCCCCCCCCCAATGATATAAAAGCTTCATATTTATTGAATATAACATGTTTAAGAACCTTAATAAGGCATACCTTATCATATGGTAAGAGACCTTTCAAAGGAAAACGAAGGGTTGTAGGATCCAGCTTCCATGAGTTACACATGGCACCTGAGTTATTTACCACAGGAAGAAGACTACAGCGACCTACGTGCAATGAAACATTATAAATTCTAAAACAGTGAAACTGGCCTATTGTTTAATCATTCTGATGCAAAAACTGGCCTCAGCCACTTTTATGCTCTCCTTAAATTTCCACTGTTTAAAGTTTTTTACCATAGGATTGCTTCACGCTGATTTTATTTTTCTAACTAATTTTCACGTAACAAAACATCTAAGGAGTAAAATCCCCATTTGTTCAGATTGGGTACCCCGAAAATAGAAGTATGTGCAAATATTAATCTAAAAGTGCCCTTTTATGTTACCACAAGACTGTTCCATTGCCATTGCTTGATTTAGGGATTTAATTCTGGTACACTGACTCTTTCCACAAAGAAAACGGTATTACTAACCTAAGTATATAATCTAGTCTTTCGATTTTCCTCCATTCAGCTTGTAAGCGAAACTGCGGGCAGGATTCTGTTCATTAAACTAGTCAAATACAAGCATCTGTACTCCAATTACAGTCAATGGAGATCTAGTCAATTCAGTCACCGCAGGCCACTGTGATTCAGCTGATCACATATGAAGAGGTTTTGGTAGGGTAAATTTAGACTTGTTAATCAATGTAGATTAGACACCTCGGATTTACTTCATTTGCTTCAACATAGGCATCTGAACTGAGCCCCTAGCGCACCTGTATGTCAGCATCTAAATTTAGGTGCCTCAACTTTGACCTAAATCTCACTGTCAGGTCAAATTCCGTGACTTCTATTGTCCAGACTGGCCATATTACTAACAGATAAAACAAGAAGTAAATAAGTATTTCTTTCTCCCCTTCAATCGTATCTATACAGGTCATTTACACATACAAGACTTGTAAAAATTTGTGTGTGATCCCTGCGAGTCATATGCATAAAAGCTATGCCACACTTTCAATAGAAGAATAACTACATGCTTCTGAAACACAAAGTGCTTTGATGCATCACAGATGAATTTACATTCTTAATCTCTGCACTAAAGAAGCTCAGTTGCAATAAACCTTGCTCAGATCTAAGATATAATGCAGCTGTTATTAAGCTACTTAATTCTCAAAGCAAACAGAAGACATTTTTATCTTTTTGAAGAAAATGCAACAGGCCTCACAATTAAAACAGCCAAATTTTAATCTTCAGATTTCTAGCAATAAACGAAGGTGAGTTTTTCTTTCACAGAAGAGGACAGCCAGTACTCATCTGAGCTAGGAAATGTTCACACAGAAGCCTGCAACAATACGGATAAGGCTGAGCAGCTGCAAAAGCTCCAATGGAAACTGAAGTCAGAAAACACTCCGTGACTAGCATACCAGTGGATCTGCATTAACTCAAAATCCTTGAGCACAGAAAACTTATGGTTTTCCTAATGTCTAGTGTAGTTAGAAACTATATGGCCATGTAACAAGTAGTACACTTGCACTACCGGCTCGTAGCAAAAAATTATTTGATCTCATCAATATGAATTTTTCCCTTCAAAGCAAAAACTGAAGAGAAGCAAGTCTGAGAACAAACTGACAAGAGTAAAGATACTAATGACACATAAGCTCTCCATCATTTTGCTTAGATGAATATATGCCCCAAAAGGTTATAAGAAACAAAATAGTTCAAAATAAATTAATTTACTTTGAAGTCATTCATGAAGTCATTCTCTTACCACAAATGGAATTTATTCTTGCTGTAGGTCTGAAGGTATCCACAAAATCCGATACTAAATTACCGAGTAACTGGGTGAGAAGAGGAGAAAAAAGTAAGTTAAGGGTTTAAGTTGTAGGTACTGATAAGGAATATTTAAGACTTAAAAATAGTTTATACATTTTAATAAAATATACAGGAATCTATTAAAATAACTAGCTTCCTACATATTTCAACAAGTCAGAAAAATCATCCAGAACCTAAAATTACGAAAGGAAAAATGTGACTTTATAAAGAAGGGGCAGGAAGCATTCTTCTCAGTTTTCACTCGAATGAGGGTTTATATAATAACTGTTTCTCCTATGCGTACTGTACTATTTCAGTGCACCCTATTTAATAACAGATGACTTAAGACAAGCTTTAGAATTTCTGTCCATACCAAATCTGTTTGCCTCTGGATAACAATTCCACAAAGACAAAGGACCTAGATTAGTACACTCTGGATGAAATCTTGGCTCAAAAGAAGTCAGTAACAGTTTTCCCATTAATTCAAGGGCATTGGGATTTTATCCTTTTCCCAACACCTAGTTATTTTAACAGAATACAAAATTAAAAACTGGACCAGCATTACATTCTTTTTGGAAACAGTAAACATTTCCACTGCACCGGAGCCCCAAATATTTTTGCATAACTGAATTTAAACAGAAAGAAAACACTGGTCAGCTATTTAAAGTGATTCTTCTTATCTTGAAGCCATAGAGAAAGCACAATCTGGTAGGTAAGCATGACCTGCATTTCCAAATGTATTCAACAAAACCATCTCAGTGCTTCAAGAGTTTTGAATATCAGGCCATAGGTCAAAACTATGTCATCAATTTCACGCAAGAACACAGGGAGCAGCTGCTGCAATCGCATCAAGCCTGTATCTTAATTTACATGCCTAAACACAGACCTTACTGTTAAATAGAAGATTTTAAATCTTCATTTAAACCTTATTTTAAAAAAATTAAAAAATAAAATTTTGTTTTGTGTAGAACAAAACTCCAGACCACACGATTTGATATCATATCATTACCCAATGGGGAAGTTTTCCTTCAGGATATAGTTTTCTGATTTCTGTAACTGCAAAGTAGGCAGGTAACAAACATGCATTTCTTTCCAAAATGTAGGCTACCACCTATAAATAAAAAAAAACCATCAGTGTAAAAGAATTTGCATAAGGTAAACAAGGGTGTACTCTCTCTCCTAGTCCGAGGCAGCCCATGAAAATAGATATAAGAATTAAAATACTTTTTCTTAATTTGTATTCTGATAGTACTACATTAGTTTAAAACCTGTTTTAATTGTACAAGTGTAAGTTAGACTGTTTAAGCCTAAGTAAAACTATGCCTCTATGTCTGCCTACAAACTATTGAAAACAGTTACTATTTTTATCCACTAAGAAAAAAATAAAGAAATTAATCTCAGTATTATATGTCATACATCTTACCTTAGGCAAGTCAAACATTGGGCCTGACTCTCCTGTTAGAGATTTTAGTGCTTATTTACAATATCCCCCAAAAGCTCTTTGTTTACTGTATAAAATGCAATTACAGAAAAGAATTAGAGCACTAAGAGTAAGTCTGCTGTTGAACTGTACCAACTCGCAAACAGCTATTAGAAACTGATTAATGACAAAAGAATGAAGCCTATCTTCCTTATAGCGATAACATAAAATTCAGATAGTTACCTCTCTTGCTGCTAAAAGCTGCTGTACAACAGCTGAGCTCACAGTGTTTGGAATTGTTAAGATTTTCTCTAGGATCACTTTCAACAGATCACGCACACCCTAAAAGGACGGACATAAAATTAACGTTCCCAGATACTCTTTATTTCTGGCAGAAAGATTACACAATCAATATGGTCAGACAATATTTTGACAGACAAATTAGCTGTTTGTTGCTAAGTGTCAGAAGACAGACTGCTACTGAGAATGTGAATGCTAATGACATTAAACTCCTTATGGAACCTCCCAATCTCAGGATACCCCAGACAAGAAAGTAACTGTTGAAATTTTGATATGCATCCAGAGACATCCAACCTACAATGGCTTGTGCAGACTGACCAAAGTACAATGTTGTGTTTTATGTTTTTTGCTCTAACACGCTCACCAATGCTGGTGAGGTGGTTCTCTGCAGGAGATGCATAGTTTCCTACTCCTTCCGTTAGGCTTGTACCCTGCCAAAGACTCAGCTTTCAGGACCTTCTTCCTATGTAGCAACAGGGGTCAGAGCAGATGTGAGAACTTCAGCCTTAATGCTTGATAGTATTAATTAATTAATTAATGCTTTTGCATGCGTACCACTTCTCTAACTGCATTAGCGTTATTTAGCTTGTAACTGAAAAGAGGGATGGAAGATGACTGTGTAATAGAGAAAAGAGTAAGAGGAGTTACATTGTCCATACAGAATTATCTATTAAGGTAAAGCTTAACTATGAAAAACCATTAAAAGTGGACTCACTGAATTATTTTTTCTTTCATAATCAAAGCAGACTTTGAAACACTGGATGTCTCTCACATAAAATCATAAAGACAAAGCCAGAAAGTAACATGTCTTATCATGAATAAAGGAATGGGAGGAAGATACCTTGTAGTCTACACCTCCAATGATCTTCCGGACCAATTTAAATGTTAATGCCCACAACTGTGTCCTTTCCCATTCAAGTGTATCAGAGTTTATCAGAGATTCACACACCATTCTAGCAGAAGGAGACAATGCAAGAATGAATGACAGATAATAAGCACGTGCTCTCCAGCAATAATTTTACAATGTCATCGTAAAACACCCCCCAATATTACAACTTCCATGTACCCTATTCATCAATTCATTCCGACATAGCTTACCTGGGTGGCAAAAGTCCAGTTTCTACTGCCATTGCTAAACAGTCATAAAGAAAAGAAATTCTTTTAGGACTATGTTGGCTATGAATGAATCTTACAATCCACTGGACGCACTGTTCATGGGATTCCTGAAAAATCAGTAGAAAGGAAAAAGAATGTATTTACAGGTAGTGAAACAAACTGTAAAATTCATATAGTATCCTACCATGAAGAAATAAACTAACAGAAAAACAAGATTATAAATGGTAGAACTTGTCCAGTTGTGCAACCACAGTTTTCCCTAGAAGTCTTTTGATCTTATTTTGAAGAAGTTCAGTTGTCCAACAGAAGTTGTCCAGTTGTCCAGTATTGCAAACACCTCCTAGCTGAAACACTGATTTCTACAGTCAACTTTGTTTTTCATACATAAGTTAGCACAGAATAGAATAAAATAGAACTGTTCTATGTTATTCTTTCCTTTTGATGGTTATAATCAAATTCAATGAAAACAAAGATGACCAGGTCTCCAATTACAGAAGAGTGCCTAGAGGAACTTTTGGAAGGTAATTTTTGAACTTAAACGTCTATTTACTTTTTTTCCCCTCCTACTTATTCACTTCTACCAGAAATCCTGAAACAAACTACCTTTTTCTTTATTGTTATGCTTCCATTTCCTTATCTTTATTTGCACTGCACACCAACCTCTGTTGAACAACTATATAATCTTATAAATGTCAAAACTAATCTTTTTTTCTTGCAAAGTCTTCCTATATTCTTTACTGCGCCATATCTGAAACCAGATTCTGAATGACTGGACACAGACCAACTTAAGTGTTTGTCTACTAGACAAGGTTTCACTATGTTAAAAAGTACATAAAGTACACGTAAGCAACAAATTAAATGTTAACCTGGGAAAGACTGCTCCAGAACTGTCTAAAAGCGCCCAGGCAGCTGATCAGTTTGGTTCTCTCATCTTCAGGAGTGTCCATAAACATACTAATGCAAATAAGAACATTAGTTATTAGCATTACCCAATGAAAGAGCACAAGTAGAAAAATACATGTATACAGAAAGTCTTGCACAAATAAACTAACATTACACTCACCCAGGAAAAGCTTCTTCAATTACTTCTGTTTTCTGTAAGAGAAAAACCCCGAGTGAGCTATTGTGAAAAGGTTTTCTATGAGTATCACACCACCAGCATGAAGCACAAAAGAGTAACAGTCATACTGTTATGAGACTGTATCAGAGACAGATGTATTTCTTCTGCTACACTAGACTCTTTCAAAGTTGAGATTGCTTTGTTTTCATATAAACAACATACCTTGTGGATCCAGATTATGGCTTTTTGTTTTGGGTTTTTTTTTTGGGGGGTGGGTGTTTTTTTTTCCTTCTAAACACCTAGAGACTAATTTACTTCCCAAAGTTGGAGAAATTGTTCAATTCTTGAATCCCATTAAGCTTTTGTCCCACTTATGTTCCATGACACTCTATTACACAAATCAATTATGTACAGTTACTCTCTCAACTGAGTTTAGATCCACTGCTTTTTAAAGCATTCCATTGAACGATTATATGGTCTTGTAGTAGGGAAAAAACTATATATAAATATCCAATTTATCTCCCCTAAAAGATTCCTTCCTTTTTTTTTTTTTTTTCTTTTTTTTTTTAACTCCATTTTGCTCAAAGGCTTCTATACCGTTATTCTAATACACCAGCAAAGTAGTTCTGGAAAATACTATCCTACAACTTTTTTTACCTTCTATAAGAATTTCATATTATACTCAGATGTGATCTATAACTGATCACTATGTATTTTCATTTTTATATTGTAGAAATAAGAGTGTGTAATAAAATAATCCTTCCGGTGACCCTTTTCAATCATACAGCCTACAACTGCCTTTCACTGCTACTCATAGTTTTCTCAAGAAGCAAAAGAGAAACAGATACTCATCTGTTCTGCATAGAAACTTGGGTAAATTTCACTGCTGTCCACTAAGTCAGTAATAGCAGCAGTGAAAGTGACAACTTGCTATTTTCTGTTATGGCTTCAAAAATGCAATGAAATTTTGTAAGTGCCTTTTTTTTTTTGTTACATAAAAATTTTAGGCAAATAACATTGCTCACAAACAGGCAATGTGACAACACAGTCAAATCCCAATGTTAAACACGTGAAAACATAATCTGAATGACAGTGACAAAATGACAAATCAACCGGGTATGGGCAATTAATATGCTACAAGCAACTTAACACCATTCAAAGAAAAGTACACCGTGCATTTTATAATGCAAACTTAAAACAGAAAGAAAAACCCAACCTTCCCTCTACTGAAATTCACCATATGGACATAATTTCCAATTACACTACTCTACGAGATCTACATATTCTTTCCAGTTCATACAGTTCCACCAGCCTCTTCTGTCCGAAACATCAGTCAGGCTCCTGTTCAGGACCTTATCAACTACCATCACCCCAGTGTTTCAGACCATGAAGTGCCCATATCTACCAAGCAGCTCATTCATTTGTGCTCTACAAAACAATGACTTAATGACCCAATGGCTTGGGTTCACAAAGGGAAAGTCCTGTTTAACTAACCTGTTATCCTTCTATAAGGTCACCAGCCTAGTGGATGAAGGGAAGGTGACAGATGTAGTTTTTCTGGATTTTAGTTAAGGGTTTTGAGACTGACCCTCACAGCACCTTTCTGGACAAGTTGTCCAACTGTAGGATGAGCAGGTTCACAGTGTGCTGGGTGAAGAATTCGCTGAAGGGCAGAGCTCAAAGAATGGGACTACATCTGGCTGGCGACTGGTCACCAGC